AAGGTCATAAATATCATAAATATCTTAATGTCATCAACCAAATGATCATAATTGATCATTATTGTGAAATCTGTAGTACAAATACGAAACGTATAAAAACTCTCACACAGCACACTGTTGCTGATGGTGTCCGGTCAATGGATGTTGAGTATCTTGCATAGACAATTGTTCATAATTACTTGTATCTTCTTGATGATGGTTGTGGTAGTTGTGCAAGTTTCAGCTCCATACAGTAGAACTAACTGTCTTGACGTTTGTATTGGATATTGTGATTTTGATATTAGTTGACAGTTGTTATGATTTCCATATTTTGTTATGTGCTTCCCGTCAGATGTGGAGGTTTTCATAATCCACTCGACCACCAGAAGAAAGAAGAAGGAGAAAGTAAACAGTCTTGTCTGACTCCGGTCCTTACTTGGAATGCATCTGTCAACTGTCCTCCATGCACCACTTCGCAGTGACATCCGTCGTATGAATTCCGTTTGACGTTGACGGTTTTCTTGGGTATATCATGGTGTAGAGGAAATTTCCATAATGTACTCCTATCCACACTGTCAAACGCCTTCTCATAGTTATTGGAGTTGGTGTATAGTGAAGAGGTCCATACAACTGATAATTCGACGATGATCCGTAGTGTCGCAATTCGGTCTGTGCACGACCAATCCTTATAGGATCCGAACTGTTGATCTCGAAGTTGGGCGTCTACTGCGCCTCCACCCGATTTAGCAACACTCTGTTGAAAACGTTTCCTGGTACTGACAGTAGTGTGACTCCTCTGTGGTTTTCATGTTCTCTCGGATCTTTCTTCTTTGGTATCTTGATGAGGTGCCTTTCTTTCCAGTCTGTCTGTGGTACTTGTTCCACCTCCCTAATCTTTCTGAATAGAGTGTGAAGTATGCTCAAGCTACTTCTATGTGTGGCTTCAGTGTTTCTCCTGATATATCGTCAGATCCTGTTACTTTCCCAATCTTGATCTGTCTGATGGTCATCCTGATTTCTTTGATCGCTGATGGAGTGACATTTATCGGAAGGTCTGTGTGTTGTGCTTTAAAGTCCGGTGGACTCAATGGAGCTGGTCAGTTTAAGAGTTCCTCAAAGTGTTCTACCACCTGTTTTCCTCTTCTTGAATCTCAGTAATTAGCTTGCCTTCCTTGTTATTTGCCGGCCGCTCTGGTTTACAATCTTTTCCTTTCAGTTTCTTCATCATGTCATATAGCTGTTTCATATTTCCATCTCCTGCTGCATTTTCCGCTTTCGTTGATGGGTATTCCATGTAATTGTGCTTGTCATCTCTAATGCTCTTCTTCAGGCGTTTGCTTCAGTGTATTCAACTAGTGTCTTGAATTTCTCTGTTCTTTTTCGACTGTCGTTACTTATGTCTTCTTGTTCTTCCTTCTTCTTTTTAGGGTTTCGATGGCGATCTATTCCTTATGATAATGCTATTTGCAGCCTAGAACCTCCTGACACATTGAAGTTATTGCTTCTTTGATCCCATTCCAGTTATCCTCCATAGTAGTTTCTTCTTTCAGTAGATCTAGTAAGACTTGTAAATACATTGTTGTTAGTGCTAGTGGGTTGATAAGATTCAAAATCATTTGTAAACTAACATGTTTTTTTTTACTAAGGTACAGATGTCTAAGTCAAATCTAGTTTTTATGATTTTAAAACATTTAGAAATTTGGTAGAGAATATTCATTATTCATACTTGTCTTTGAGTGAAATGAAAAAGGTAAAATTGACTTAACTAATGTTTCATTATTTAACCCTAATGCTGAAGAATAACGGAAGAGAGAAAAACCAAATAACCCGATACGTTGGGAAATGGAAGCAGATATGAAAAGAATGAATGACAAGTGGAAAGAGCTGGAAATGATTTTTTCAGGACATGGCTGGATGGAGAATGTTGGTGAGCGGCTTATGCTCCTCTACCAGGAGTAACTGGTGTGAGTGGTAAGTTAATTACGATGTGGTCAGTATGAGTCCAGGCTTGAAGTGCAGAGGAAAGATACCATGTTGCACATTGGCTATGACTGCCGAAAGTTTTTGCTCGCCAGAAACTGGTCAGCGTCTTTTTATCTAGGAATAACGAGTGTCCACTGATCACTTAAGTAACTATCCTCTGTACTTATATACTCGACTTGGGCATCTGAATCTCCAGCTAGAGCCACAACATCTGATGAACTGTCTTTTTTGAAATCAGTTAACAAGTAATGGAACTCATAATTGATTTCATAGATGCTGTACTCTGTTGGGATATAGATCAAAATAACGAAAAATATCATTTCTCTCGCAAGTTTATTTCTGGCTTCGATGAAATCTCCTAATCTAACAGCACATTAATGAATGAATGAAGATAATTTACATAGATACATCATTTATTAAGTTAGAGATTAAGAATAATTTTTATAGATTTTCTTTATTAATTTTCTATTTGTAGGTGTATACCAATTGGCAATAATTAGTTTTAATTTATATAAAATGATGTAATATGTTAATTTCAATCAGAGATTATTTATAATTTTATTGCGAAAAAAACAAAAAATGAATTGATTAAAATATTAAGTTAACATGATAGAAATATTTGTTGGCATGGGAATATTTAGTGAGTTATTTAAATTATCAGAATGGGTTTTGCGGAGATTTTAGAAATTTCACTGGTTGAAATCAGGAGTCAATTGAATCTAGACCACCATGGAAAACTTGGAAGCACTGGATGGCCGTTTCCTTCTAGTATGGGACTCCTCAACAGTGGGCTTCCACGATCCCGCACCCCGCCGCGAGATTCGAACCTAGGATCTATCAGTTTCGCGCCAAGCGCTTAACCAACTAGACCACTGAGCCGGCCGGAATCCAACAGTGTTAATGTCTAACTTCAACTAATCCACAAAATGACTCATGATCTCAACTGTTGAAATTACTACAATCTCCACAAAACCCTTCAGATATAAAAAAATTCACTCATTTCTTAATCAAAACATAATCGTTTTTATATAAAGGGAATCAATCAAAATAATCTTCGGTAAGTAAACTTAATAATAAACTACTACTATCTATAAAATTCTACTATTAATGACTGAAATCACCATCCAGTTTATACGCTTCAGCTGGCTCAGTAGTTTTGTTGGTTAAGCGCCTGACGCGAGACTGATAGGTCCTGGGTTCGAATCTCGTGGGGTGCGGGATCGTGGATGCGCACTGCTGAGAATTCTCATACTAGGACGAAACGGCCGTCTAGTGTTTCCAGGTTTTCCATGGTGATCTAGCTTCAATTGACTCATTATTTAAATTAGTTTAAATTTCACTTTTTATAACAGGGAAAGTCATTAGTATGAATGAATAAATTAGTGAATAAAAGAGTTAAACTAAATCAGATCATTTCATCCATTAATTTCCAACTTCATTTTATTTCTAATTGTTGTCAAGTAACTTTATTCAAATAAAAATGATTTTTATTCAATCAAGTTGTAACTATAAGCAACGAAAAGTTGTTTTCTGTTGTGTGTTTTTTTTTGGTGACTTAATAAAATATTTAAACAGTGTAAATACTCTTACAAACAATATTTTGATTTAGATCCTGAATTATTGATGATTTTTCATACGGTTTTATAAAATAATGAAATGAATTCAGTAAATCAATTAGATAATAAATTGTTCAATATGAATTAATATTGAATGTAATAAGCATAGATTTAACAACAAAAGAAGTGACTTCAATATTAATAGTTACTTTTACTCATTTACTTTATGTCTTTATCAGGTAACAAAATAGATCTCTAATTAGAATTGAGAAATTTGTTTGTATATTAATTTATATCAGCAGAAAGTAATGAGAATAAAACATTGTCTTTCATCATTAAAAAAAATGATAAAACTGGATGGTGATTTCAGTCATTAATAGGTATGACATTAATACTAGAATTTTATAGATAGTAGTAGTTTATTATTAAGTTTACTTACCGAAGATTATTTTGATTGATTCCCTTTATATAAAAACGATTATGTTTTGATAGTAGTTAGGAGAAAAATGAAAAGCTGATTAATTGTTGATTAAGAAATGAGTGAATTTTTTTATATCTGAAGGGGTTTTGTGGAGATTGTAGTAATTTCAACAGTTGAGATCATGAGTCATTTTGTGGATTAGTTGAAGTTAGACATTAACACTGTTGGATTCCGGCCGGCTCAGTGGTCTAGTTGGTTAAGCGCTTGGCGCGAAACTGATAGATCCTAGGTTCGAATCTCGCGGCGGGGTGCGGGATCGTGGAAGCCCACTGTTGAGGAGTCCCATACTAGAAGGAAACGGCCATCCAGTGCTTCCAGGTTTTCCATGGTGGTCTAGATTCAATTGACTCATGATCTCAACTGTTGAAATTCTTTTATAATTTATTCAATTCCTTCTGTCTATGAATTTCATATCGTTCCTAAACTTGGTGTTTCAACTTCAAATAAACGTCTTTATAGATGTACAATCAGCCAGACTAAATTGTAACCTTT